CGCGATAGATCGATTGATTAAAAGAGTGGATGAATGAATAAAATTGTGAGAGGATGAAGGATTGGAGAAAAAATTAATAAAATGAACGAATGATGGATACGCAAGAGAAAAATTAAATTGCTGGATACGCAAGAAAAAAAACTCCGTAAAAAAATAAATAAGAATGAATGATTCTACAAATTAGAGAAGAAGATTAAATGTTATATATATATATATATATACATAGAATATATATATATATATATATATATATATATATAATAAAAGACTGCATATGTATTAAATAAATTATTCTTTATATCATATTAGCAATTGTATTGATTAGCATAGTATATATGTTAGTTATTTCACATACATGATAATTTTTTAGTTAGTGATGCGAAAATACAAGTCTTATAAGTGTCGTGACTGTTATCATTTTTATCTTTCCACTCTCCCCCCCCCCTCTCTCTCTCTCTCTCTCTCTTTCATTCCTTTTCTCTTTTTCTCTCTCTCTCTTTCTTTGTTTCTGTCTCTCTCTCTCTCTCTCTCCAAACATCACAAAGGGCATTTTCCAAAGGAGCGGAAAATTTCTCAAAAAAAAAAAAACAGCTTTAACCACAATAAATCGAGTTCAAACAAGAGGCGAGCATGGGAACGCAATCGCGGAAATCCCATTAATTTTAGGAAATATGGAGTCGCAGTTCGGGAATGTGAAAATGACATCTACCTATGGGGAAAAAAAATAAAAGCTTATATATATATATATATATATATATATATATATATATATATTTATAAATGTATAATCGTACACATGTGATCAACGCATACACGAAAATCGATTTTAATGTTTAATTTTGATTTATCGCCTATTTTGTTTTTGCTCCGAGAAGAAAATTCTCAAACATGCCTCAGTCTTCTTCATTTAAAAATTAAAAATAAAACTATTCGGAAGCAGAATTCTGTTGGAAAAAAAAACAAAAACATCGACCGCAGTACAACAACATCCGCAACAACAACAACAACATTTGCAGCAACAACAACAACATTTGCAGCAACAACAACAACATTTGTAACAACAACAACGACATTTGCAACAACAACATTTGCAACGACATCATTTATAACAACAACAACATCTACAACACCAACAAGGCCAACAACAAAACTAGCAAACCTAATTATAATCGGTCATACGTCATCAATATCATGTTTACTTGTGCATACAAACCACTAGAAAAATACGAACATACAAACAGACACACACACACACACATACACACAGACACACACACATACACACACATACACACACACACACATACAGACGTACGTACATGCATGGCTCTCTGAAAACACCGTAAACAACATCAGTTCACTGCCTTTGTACGTATGAGTGGGCAATCTTTTATACAAACATACAAAACATACACACTTACATACATACGTACGTACATACATACATACATGCATACATACATACATGCATACATACATACAAACATACATACATACGTACATACATACATACATACATACATACATACATACATACATACATACATACATACAAACATACATACACACATACAGACAGACATACAATTTTATTATGTTTGTTTGCTGTTTCTGGCATGCGGTGACAGATCTCGATAGGCAGCTATTTGTCCGGCCTTGTCACATTTAATAATATGAAAAAATTTTCATAATAATATAAATAATAATTTTTATTTTTTATTATAATTATTAATGTTATTATTATTGTTGTTATTGTTGTTTCATGACGTCATGATCTGAAACCCAGTTAACTAGTGATCACGGATGACTTTTGACCTCTGCCCTGGCTATTTAAAGAATTTTGTTGTATGTGTGTGTGTGTGTGTGTGTGTGTGTGTATATGTATGTGTGTGTGTGTGTATGTTTCTATGGTATCGTTATGTTTCGTTATGTCACGTTTCGTCTCGAAAGAACTCGATGAGGAGAATACATTAAGAAAG